TCCCAGCGCCGTATCGCGAGATCAGAGTCACCTTCCCGACTTCACGATCCGGGTTCACGACATCCAGCAGCTGCACCAGCTCATCTGCCGCCATGCTGGGCCCGATCTTGATTCCGACAGGATTGGCGATGCCGCGGAAGAACTCGATATGCGCACCGCCGAGTTGGCGGGTCCGGTCGCCGATCCAGAGGAAGTGGCCGGATGTTGCGTAATAGCCTGTTTCGGGAGCCGTGGTGGTGCTTCCTGGGCGCGCTGGGTGGCGGAGGAGTCGGGTTAGGCTCTGCTCGTATTCTAGGGAGAGGCCTTCGTGGCTGGTGAAGATGTCGGCTGTCTCGAAGCCGCGGTCTTTGTCGATTCCTACCGTGTGCATGAAGCGCAAGGCATCCTTTACTGCACGTACGGTTTTGGCGTATTGCTCTTTGATTGAGGGCGTGATTACATGGCCCAGGCCCCAGTCTAGTGGGGAGTGCAGGTCTGCCAGGCCTGAGGACAGGGAGGCTCGGAGATAGTTCAGAGTCGCCGCGGAGTGGAAGTAGGCTGAGACTAGACGCGATGGGTCTGGTTGGCGGGATACAGGGTCTGCTGCGAAGCCATTGATATTGTCACCGCGGAACGAGGGCATTTCCACTCCGTTGATGACCTCTATTGGACTTGAGCGTGGCCTAGTTTTGTTATTAATTTTGTGGTCATGGATTAATGAATGAAAAACATACTTTGCAAACTGGCCTGCAATCCGGGCAATACGGATGACGGGCTTATTGGCGCCTATTGGTGGATTAGTTGCCATGTTTTCTTTGCTTTTTGTGGGGGTCTGACATACCCCAGATGAGAACCAAACTCATTTGCAACAAGAGCTTCACTTTGGCTTCGATCATTTCTTGGCTGCAATAGTCGAAGAGCTCGGCACAGTCACCTAGACAGAATGCTTAGTGCTTGTTTTGGGGATATCCTTTTCTTGTGCGACATACCACCCTGTAGAACGAATGCTTTGCCCAAAGCGACATTTCGTAGGTTCTTCTTGAGATTGATGATCTGCAAACCAGGTCAGTATAATAGCTAAGATCCAGTCTGAAGGAAAGACATACTTCTTGTGTGGTCACAAGTGGAGGAAGCTTCTGTAGTTTCTGCAATGAGTCTTGCAACCCTTGAGCATCCTCGTAGATGACATCTTGCTTGATGGGCTTTTGTGTCCAAGCTAGACATAGTCAGTGATATTGGATCAAATGTGAGACAGATTTACAGATTTTTGCTCATACAACTAGGGCTCCATTCGGCCATGGTGAGGGCAATCTGGAAAGGTGGGGGGGTCAAATTTCTTCAGTTTGACCAGCAGTAACAAGCAAATGCAATGAGTAATGAGTTGGAATAGGCAGTAGAATATTGATAACTTCTTAGAAATAGCAACAAAGGACTGATGAGGGAAAATATATCAAGGACGGCAACAAAAGAAAGCTAACTAGTTGACTAAACAGTGGTGTGTGTACGTGATACGCTTATTCACGGACTCGGATGACTCACCTTGATGCCTGATATCCAAGGCAGAATATTTATCCCGCATCGTGTGACAGTAACTGCTACTAGGAGTTCAGTACAGCTTCAGTCAAAAACAGGGGAATACTATTGACTAACTACAATTCACATTGAACTCTCACTATGTAGCAGGCTAATGACATTCATTCCTCAAGCTAGTTAGTAGTAACCTTAGCATGTACAATCATAGGGAAGGCATCATGTCCTATATAATAAGTTCTGTACTTACTTAGAATTGAATGAGTTTAACGGAATCTTTGATGAAGTGGATGAGTGCTGTTCTCGAACTTTATTATATATAGTGCATCGAGTGTAGACGATATGCCGTTTGGGGCGACAGAGTTTTGTCGATATAGAAATTTCACTACCCCAGATTTGGCCAAAGCCGACCCTGGAGCTAAATTTGGAACAGAAAAGACGGACCACGGAAACAATAAAAGGGGCAATGCAGAGCAAATGCTGGCGGATATGGGAAATTAGCCCAATCGTTGGCGAATAACGAAGAAGAACGTAGGCAACTCTCGTGTCGAAATCGGGTCTAATCAGGCGACCACACGGGACCTGCGCACTGTGATTGGTCAAGTCTCGCGACTAAGCCTTTCGTGGCCATTTTCGGTTAGCGTCGGTGGTTTAGGTTTGGCTAGTTTAGTACTAGCGCGGCCCTAATAGATGAAGGGGCCTGGTTTCGCCTGGCTCAGAAGATATTTATTAAGCCCTCCGTCAGCTTGTTTTTTCTTTCTTCTATTCAGCAAATATTGTTCCTATACTCCCACACTCGTTTGAAAATGCAGTACAAGGTCCTTACCACTCTTTTCCTCGCCGCCACGGCCCTGGCCGCCCCTGCGGATCCTACTTCTACATCCTCAGGCACCGAGACTGCCGACAACGATGAGACCTACGATATCGCGGATGTGCCCAGCTCCATCATGAGTGTTCTGGCAACAGCCATCCCGGCCTCATGGTACGACGAAATTATTGACCCGGCCTCCCGCAGCGTGATCATCAGTGAAGCTGCCGCTGGCACCTACCCAGCTTGGTACAACGCGTTGCCTAGCAGCGTCAAGGCCTGGGCCACTTCCAACTTTGACGACCAGCTCGCTGGTGTCCCGGCAACCGCATCGGCAACCGGTACTCAGACCGAGACTGCTGATAGCAGCGCCATCGAGACTGGCTCCACCACTCCTTCCCACCAGACCTCCAATGCCGCCGTGACCACTTCGGCTTCCACCACTGCCTCGGACTCCACCTTCATCTCTAGCACCAGCTCCGCATCCAGCTCTGACTCGAGCTCTGTCTCGAGCTCCAGCTCCGACTCCAGCTCCGACTCCAGCTCTACATCATCTTCTCCCTCTTCTTCGCAGTCTACTGGTGGCGCCCCTGCTCCTACTGGGGGCATTGCCATGGGAGTTGCTGGTATGGCTGGTGTTTTGGCTCTGGCTCTTGCCCTGTAGAGCATTGCATAATTATTCATTTGCCTGCCTGGCTGTTGATAATAAACTCTGACTTCTTGTGCATAATCTGTGTATATAATAACCTTTTCATTATATATAAACAAGAATATTAGGCCGCTTATGCAGCTTTGTCATTTCAGTAATTTCAATGGTCTTTTCAATAGTCTTCTTAAATGTAGATAAATTATAGCCCACATAAGTACTACGTGATATAGACTGATCAATTGATCATGCTGCTAATCGATCATTATAAGGCACTATCGCAAACAAGAAGATTGATCCCTAACTTGATATTTTACAAAAAGAAAGAACCGAAAACACAGCCGGTGTCTCTCGCTGTCGTTATCCAATTTCAATTGTCACTCGTAAAAGGTATGGTAAATCGCTTGTTCGGGGTTCGGACTGTGTATAAGCTCAGCTGTTAGCATATCCAATCAGTACAGGTAGTGATGCAGTCCACGGGAATAAAGAACCAGGCCAGTCAACAAGTCCACCAAATAACATCATAAAAAGCGTACGGCAATTCTCTTTGCGGACTGTTCATGATAGTCCAGGTTAGAATCTTCAAAATCAATACCGATAAAGAGTAAAGCAACCCGACAAACCCCAATTTATGGTTCACTCTGGAACCCGATCCTTGATGTAATCCAGTAGCCTGAGAAGGCGATTGTAAACTGTCTTGTCACTGTTCGGGCGATTCATAAGTCTCCACGCGAGCATATTCAGCTTGAAATGGAGCCTATGACAGTCCCGTATGAATTCATCGACGAAGTGCGTAAGAGGCTCGTTTCGCACTGTCTGGCAGCCTGGGACATGCTCAAACATGGCTTGTCCCGTGCTTCGGATATTGTCCACCTCAATTGTAAGTCGGCCTAGCTTCTCGATTGTGGTTTGGCGATCTTCGGAAGACGGGTCTTGCCAGCTTAGCCGGTCAACGACCTCCATTATGGAGGCTTGGAAGTGTCGCCATGCGTCGTGATAGGCCTGTTCCCAGATGGACACGCCATCGGAAGAGGAGTTTCCCGTAGCTGAGGGCATCGTGAAAGTCTGTTAGTAGACCTGTGCTAGGCTATATAGTTGTTAGTGAAGTGATACTCTAAAAATAACACAAGAGATCGAAAGAGACAGTGAAGTAAGGATGTGACCATAGCCGATTGACGATTAGATGAGAGCTGCACTGAGAGGATAACTCGACGCGGTGGTGAGTGTAGTGAAAGTACAATCGAACGGACTTGATCGAATATGTCGAGAGTTAACGATGTATGTTATGAATGCCTTTCATGGGGCCACTTGGAAAGTCGAGGACACGACAAAGGCTTGATTGTCTGAACCACGACTAATCGGATCCCAAGTCAAAGTGATAAAAGTACACAAAGGCCCTTGTTTATTCCATTTGTCTATTTGCTACTCATCTCAGGCAAAAGTTGGGGTGTATTATTTCCTTCGTATCAATTTACCGCTCACACTTCCTTCTTTCTCACTGGCGACCTGGATCCGACACATTTTATTCATACCATCGACACCATCAGCACTGATATATACGCACGAAATCGTCCGAGCAGGTCCGACAGCTAGTAGGCTGATTGGGATCGTGCTCGAAATTTGTCTATTTGAGGAATCTAGACTAGTTCGTGCTAGTTCCAATCTTGAAGGTTCAATACCCCAGTTCACTCACTCATATTACAAACTATGAATACTATATGTAGAATCTAAATTGGCACACTGGCGGTACTAAACTCGTGCCTGGAGTATTTACGGTCTCATATCTCGAGTCCATTGTTGGCCAGGCGGTTAACTCGGCAACATCTTCATCGCATTGACCCCACGCAAATGTGGGGTGAAATTGTGTCATAGCTCCTTTTTCACCCCAACTTTTCTTTTCTACAAGAGTTACAGACTGCTTTACGTACGGAGATAAAGTGCCAAGGTAGAATCACGCACAACAGTGTGTCATACATCCGATCGGTATCTACCCCAGGCGCGCTCGCGTGACAGCTTCCCGAACCGGGATCTCCGTTGATGGGGACTTCTCCGCAAATCCAGAACCATGGCCAAGACCGCCACGAGGGCCGAGAATATGTCCATCCTGTCTCCCAGGACGCTTCCGACTTGACTGGTCATCATGCAGACTTGTCGGGTACAGAAAGCGACTCCGATCTTGAGAGCGATGACACCGCAATTTTCGAAAATCCCCAGCCGAGGAGATTGGAGTCCGCGCCGCTGATAACAAGTCGTCGGCGATTTTCCTCAATTGATGAAGATAATGATCATGACGCCGTGCTCGGGCCGGTCGAGGAGGACGAAGAGAAACCAGTGACTTGGAGCTCACTACCGAAGAAGGGCCAGTTGGCAATCTTGACCTTGGCGCGACTGTCAGAGCCGTTAACGCAGACCTCTCTGCAGGCATATCTGTTTTATCAGCTCAAATCGTTTGATCCATCTCTGCCAGACTCGAAGATCTCCGCCCAGGCGGGTATGCTCCAGGGTTGCTTTACAGCCGCGCAATTTATCACCGCTGTCTGGTGGGGCCGTCTTGCCGATGCTGAATGGATGGGACGGAAGAGAGTGCTGTTGATCGGATTGATGGGCACCTGTCTGTCTTGTATAGGCTTTGGCTTCTCTCGATCTTTTGCGACGGCCATGGTCTTTCGGACACTAGGTGGGGTATTGAACAGCAACGTGGGAGTGATGCGGACGCTGATTGCAGAGATCATCGCTGAGAAGAAGTAAGTTGATATGTTCACACAATGTGCCAACCTGCCTTGAGCTAACTGTTTAGATATCAATCCCGCGCGTTTTTGCTCCTACCCATGTGCTTCAACATTGGTGTAATCATAGGTCCAATCTTGGGAGGCACTTTGGCCGATCCTATCAACAGCTTTCCCCAATTTTTCGGCCCGGGTTCTACTATCGGGGGCAAAGACGGTGTCTGGTGGATGCAGCATTGGCCCTATGCATTGCCGAATCTTTTGAGCGCAATCTTCATATTTACGTCATTTCTCGCAGTGTTTCTTGGGCTCGATGAGGTGAGGTCAATCCCCGTCCACACTCATATAGTCACTAACAGCGAAACCGTCCAGACCCATGAAATTGCACGTTATAGAAAAGACTGGGGTCGTAAATTGGGCAAGCGGCTTACAAGAGCTTGGACCCGGCGACCCCGGCACTATCGTCCACTTACACGCTCCAGCGACGATGACTCCGTTTACACGGACGGCAGCCTCGGTGCTTGGTCTACGCCATCAAGTCCAGCTCGCTCTCGCGTGCATCCACGGCCGCATAAGAAAATAGGGTTCTGCCAGATCTGGACACGCAACATTGTCCTGACTTTGGTGGCTCACTTCCTGCTCGCCTTCCACACAAGCGCCTTCAACTCTATGACATTTGTATTTTTGCCCGCACCCCGTGCCCCAGAGAACTCCGGCAAGGTCTTTTCCATTTCGGCGGTGGACTAGGTCTTCCATCATCTCGAGTTGGGCTTGCTACTGCTATCATTGGTTTCCATCGGCCTGCCACTCCAGATCTTCCTATACCCGATGATACAGACAAAGCTGGGAACACTGACATCATTCCGAACGTTCCTTCCTTTTTCGCCCATTGCATACGTGCTGATGCCCTTCCTTGTGGTTCTTCCACGCATACCATGGATTATTTGGCCCTCTTTCACGTTTGTCATTAGCTTACAGGTCATCTCGCGGACATTTATCCTGCCCGCTGCTATCATCCTGGTAAACAACTGTGTCACGGATCCATCTATCCTAGGCACAGTCCATGGAGTGGCACAGAGTATTGCTAGTGCGGGTCGGACCATGGGTCCTTTCCTGGGTGGTTGGGGGCTGGGCCTGGGCCTCGAGAATAACATGATTGGGGCTGTCTGGTGGGCACTGGCTGTTGAGTCTTTGCTTGGTTGGGCTATGCTGTGGAGCATTTACGAGGGCAAGGGAATCGAACACAAGAAAGATGAGATAGAGGAAGACGAGGAGTGATTTTCTTCAACCTGTTGATAACCATTGTCTACATGCCTTTGTGACAACCAGACCCCTAGCATAAAGAGCGAGTCTTGATATGTAGAAACGAAGTTTCGTTCCTACCTGATTCATTCCGACTCGATCCATTAAATTGTGCCAAAAGCAGTAAATAGTTTGAGTCAACACGCCTGAACAGATGGGGCAATGAATGCCTTCATTGCCTCGGTGGCATCCCCATCATAAGCCTTGAGCAACTCCGTGGCCTTGGTCTTATTTAAATCGAGCTGTTCAGCCTAGATATATCAATAAGGCTGCACAAAGACGAGCACCGAGGCCATAGACATGGTAAACATACTAGCAGTGTAACATCAGCTGGAGCGACCTTAACTGTCTTCTTTTTCAGTCCATCAGTCTTCGGTCCCTCAGCCGCCTTGTTGTTGCCAGAGCCCTGTCCAGCAGCTATTTCGAGCCGACTCATGGCCCTTCCCAGAGCTTCTTGGTTTGCGCTAAGCGGTGCTCCGGCAGAGGCACCCTCCGTTGCGATCTCATTTGTGTTGAGGAGGAGAGAGCGGCGGCGGCTTTCCGATCTTCAGCGTTTGAAGGAAGGGAGGTTTCAACGGTTTCTGGGTCAGCAGTTGCGGAGGAATTTGATCAGACATATTTGCTTTGTTCAACGGATGTTGGGAGTTAGAGTTGATGTTCCTGTTGACAGCACGACGTCACCGATAAGCCCCGGGTTCAGATAAGCGCTGACATAATTATTTTGTCCATCCATCCCCGGGTTTTGATCTAAGAAATTGGACTACTCTTTCTCTTTCGGCTTTTTGGCCTTTAAGTAAGAGCCCAAAGGATACATGTATTGATGAATTAGGTTAATATATACCAGGTAGGCTGCATCTTTTATAGACAGCCTAAATATCGCCTTTCCGGGGTGCCTGCCGCCTAGAAGTATCCCTCCTTCCATGATTCTCGGTATAGGTAAAGTATCAAAAATTCAACTCGATTTTATCTTGTCTGCCAAAGTTCTATCCTAACTTCAAGTTCTAGCAAGGGCTTAAGATTAGAATAAAATAAAATAAATGCACCGACCGGGATTCGAACCTGGGCTGCCGCTTGATCACAGGAAAAACCTGTTTTCCTATTGGGAAAGTGATCTCGCTCATCCCCTCCGTAGTCTTAGATGATCAACCACCCTTGAGACAGTTCAATTGAATTCCATTAGATCTTACATTCTTTCATCTAATTTCTGATGGGAAAGACACCCTCCTGTAGTTGCTGAGACCCCTGGAAGCCCTCGCAGAAATCACAGGAGGAATCCTGTCCCAAGGGTCTGTCATATACCCTTAGTATAGGTGGTTGAGCGCTCAGTGAAAGGCTAGGTCACCTGAATACCCTGTATCTACTAGGTATTGTAACCCTAGTTCTTGACATAAAACAAAAAAAAAAGATTCATGTTTATGTCGACCCCATCCTCTCTTCCTCTTCCTTCATACTAGCTTCTTCTAGTCTTGCCCCGATAGAATCGGATGAATATGAGTCCCGACATAAGTATCATTAGAAGGCTCCGGTGGTCGAGTGGAACGACTTTGCTTTCCCATGCTCCTAAAGAGCGATATCTGGAATCAAGCAACAGCCCGGGTTCGAACCCCGGTCGGTGCATTTTATTTTTGTTTTCTAATTTTGCATCCCTGGGATTCCCCTGGCCCAGCAGCTTACACGCCAACATTGCTAAACCCCGGACCAGAATGGAAACGGTCACTCATTCAAGAATACATAGGGGATCCATGGCATGCATGACAAGGCGGTTGAACGTCTCCTAGCCCACTCTCGGGTCAATCACGACGGGGTTGGTTGGGTGCTTAGCACGGGTTGCCGCTTGGTCTGATTAGAGGGAAAGGGATCTTAGTCAAGCAGGAGCCCATCGGCAAGTTTTCCAGGTGCATCCGAAACCCCGAGTTTGAAACAATCAAACGAACCTCGTGACACCCAATAAAGCTGATTGAACCAGGGTAATTTTGCATGAACTCGCGGAGGGCTGCGTGAGCGATAGTAAATTGACACATTTCCAGATGCTGAAGATCCAAATCAATGCAGATTGATATGCTCGGGAACCCATCAATATAATGTGACTCCACTAAAGGCTACGCGCATATGGTAAGAAGACAGTATTTTGCCTTGTCTATGCTATTTGGTTCGGTCGCTCGGTTGTACTTTATGCATGATAGCATACCGACCTAGGTCTTCATGTCGGTTGACTAATAATTGGTTGACTCGTCCTTCAACTCTTAATCAGGTCCGCTAGTTGGAGGCATTGGCGTCAGGAGTGGATTTGTTCTTTACGAAACCAGTCCATTCAAAGATGTATCATGGTTCATCGACGACTGAAATTGAAGGTAGTGTCCTGTCTGGTCCAAATACGACGTTGACGCCACTAGCAAAAATGGCAGCTCTACACCTGATCGCGCAGCGTCCCTTTATTACATACATTTGTCCATTGCTCTAGCGTTCGTTGACGTTGGGATGACTTCTTGGTCTCTTTAGTATATTGAAACCGCGATTCCCAGTCAAAATTGTCAGTGGTTCGGAGCAGCCCTGATCCATAAGGGCAACGACTTCTGGTTCAATTCCTGTGATTGTAAGGGGTGACAGCGAGAGATCACTTTCCCCTACATATACACAGGCAGCGAACACAGTGGTCAATGTGACCAAGTAACCATGAATCATATCGTTGTTTTTAAAGAATCCAGGGAATTCGACGCAAAGGATGCTAGGCGAGCCAACGCCGAGCTTAGGAGCTATCAGCTGTGATACGATCAATCAGAGGGTCTGACTGAAGCTTTCGGAGGATTGAATCTGTTATACAGGCACTGGAGCGCAAATCAGTAGAACATCCGATGAAGCGTTAGAGCAGACGGATCACATACGTGAAACCTCTAGCGATCATGTCTGGAAATCTGTTGATTACAGTTCCACCGTCTCCGTTGATCTGTTGGATATAGGTATTGATCTGCTCAGTGGTGGCCGAGTCTTGAAAGGTTACCTGTCTTTGTTAGTGGGGATCGTAGGGGATGAAGGGAAGTTCAGTTACAATATAATTCGTAGTCATTTTGTCGGGCTTGTTTAATTGGCGTTGGCTTTTCGTTGAATGAAAGAATGAGAGGCTCAGATTACAAATTATTCCTTTGACGGTAACCAGGCTATCACTCGGATTGGAGTGCCAAATGACGTCATCGCATGCTCGCAACGGAATGTCGTAAAAAACTTTTCCTTTTTAATAGTCGTTTACAATAGGAGGCCTGTTCGATGCAAGACCAATATCATGTTAGTCAAGTACCCAGCTGTATCAAATAAGAATAAAGGCGCTTTTTTGATGATCAAACTGCCATCGGAAGGCTCTTCGAAGAAAGGAAAGGCGGTACCACCTTGCCAAACTCTCCAGACACTGGTCTATTCCACGGTCGCCAGGTTTTGCTGCGAATCTTCTGCAACCTTGGTAACGAGCTAAACCTGTGACCGATCTAACGCACGGATAGGCGCCGAGAAAGAGCGAAAGAGTGTAAATCTTCGTGATCAAGGCCTGACTCTGTACCCGGCCGTCAGCTGAACGACTAGTTAAAGCTCTCTGTGGTCTAACTGACTAATCGCCTGCATCACGCGACATGACCAATTACGTCATGAACGTCAAGTCCGATAATCTTGAGTATACCTGTTCAGATCCAGTCCCCATCGCAGGCTTGGTAAATCATCTGAAAATACAGTACTAATATTTCAGAATGCAATCAGGAGGACCAGATTCCGAGTAGGTCCCACCCTTCCTAAACTAACGACGCTAATGATCCTCTCAGCCATTGTCTAAATCCGAGAACCGTCTCCTCAAAAAGTACGGAGAGCTGCCGCGTGGAGGCTTACTTGCTCAAAAGTCCAAGGTACTTAAAATACAGTTTCTTATGACGCATACTAACTGACCATTGGCAGGAACGGACATACTTTGACTCTGGCGATTTCGCTCTTTCTGCTGCTGATCGCGAGACTGACAACGGCGCTATCCAAACGGGCAGAGCCCATCCTCATCGGGAAAGCATTTCGCACCCTATACCTCTATCCCAACCTCTAGTAACGTTAACAAATATGCCAACGAAGATATATGTAAGAAAAGTGCGAGTATTGAGAAGAGTCCTCTCCTTCACCAAACAGACACTAAGGACGAAGCGACCATCATGAAGGGACAGGACGATCATAGTCTCTTCACGAACATTTAAGGACCTCAAATTGTCGCATTGAAATTAAAAAACAAATTGATGTCATTCAGCAGGAAGGAACGTACCTTACTGATAGTCAAAGAGCCATCACAAATTGGCTCAAAAGGTCTATTTATCAGGTTACGGAATACATTACAGTCTCACGGGTTCGAGAAACTATCAAAGAGACGTAGGTGGTGACATGAGGTTTCCCGAAGCACCTGACTAGGGTGTACACATTGGGAACAAGTTGTGTGGAAACACAGCCAAAGTGTCTGTCTGCTCAGCAACCGAGCAAGATGAAGATCATGTGGGATCGAGAATCTGGTCGTTCGCACGATGGTGGATCACTCTATTCGTAGGAATATCTAGATGTGCCAAAGATCGTAGTGTTTCCCACGATAGACCTGATCCGAGTTCCGAGTAGGTCGGATGGAGAAAAAAACTGCGTCTGGAGAATCATAACTACACAACTCAAACTTATTGTGCAATAGATTCGTTGAAGTAACTACTGTATTCAGATAATGATTGGCGTACAATCTCTGACCAAGAATGGGACAATAAGGCCCTCGATTTGTAAAGGTTTCCCTTCAGGAAGTTAAAGTTTTCGCTGTGGTCTTACGGTTGTTTAGGTTATTGTGGGTGTATCTTTATCAACCTGCTACAGATCTTTGTCTGTCACTAGTATTAGGGGGCTGGATAGTAGAGGTTCTTGATGGGTCAGTCGTCTTTCATCTGAGCCATAGTTGGAGACATACTAATTGCGAGCCAAGGAAAGCCGAAAACCCCTGCACATTTTACTATATTCATGTGCCTTTTCATCAGGTTCCCTAGTTTTTCAAAAAATATATGTTCAATATTTTAAAACGAACTTGCCTTTCATTTCGAACTTTGAAATCCGTAGGAAATTTGAAAGTCGGACAAATGCATTATCAATTCAAAGTAGAACGAGACCGATCTGACACGCAATTAAATGATAAAATCGTAGGAGAGGAAAGTATTTATTCACCATTAACGCGCGGGTTTAACGTAATATCCAACGTGGGGAAAATCGGCGGGCAGTGGGGTGTGACCGAACGTTTGTTAAACGAGGGCGTGCCAAAGTAGATGTATATACAGTAGGGGCTGAAAAGATTGGCTAACTGAGAGCCCCTTCGTTACCTGGATCATGGGTCCGAGCCATCTAGGTTAGTCGAGCCGCAATAGAAGATGGCTCGAATACTGTTCTTATGAGACTTGGGGAGGACCTTAAAGTAACTCGGGGAAAAAAGTGGTCCAGGTGGCTGAGATGCTCCAAGCGGATAAAGAAGAGCTAGATTTTGATAAAGAACTGTAGCGTCTGTTTCTTAGCCTCAAAAGATATCAGCTGTCTCTGACGCTAGGGGTTGCGACTGTACGAGTTCTGAAACCGTTGAGGGCCAGTTGGAAGTCGGGTGGCCTGCCAGGTCTTGAGACCCCGGTCTTAAGGCCCGTTGGGTCCCTGATGTCAGGTCCTCTGCCTTCGGTTTGCAATCACTAAACCCAAGTAATTGGCATTAGGCTGCTAGACTCCAAATGGCTTGGTATATCTCTAGCGACTAAAGTTCTTATCAGGCAGCATCTCCGGTAAAAATGAAAGGGGCAGTGCGTCGGGCTGAAAGCAAATGCGCAGTAAGGCCCGCAAAGATGAAGGTGCCCAGGAGGCCGTCGGTGGCTTCCTCGGTTGCTCCAGCAATCTTCCGGATGTCAGGCTGAACCCCCTTGTTCTTCTTGAGGGTCGCTGGACGAGCAGAAGGCGAGGGTGATCTGAGTCTGAACGCCTCGGAGTTGTCCTCTACGTGTTTGACGGCCCCAGTCCCGATCGTAGATGTCGTCGTAGGTCTCCCCGCCTTCAATAGCCTCGTCGAACCTGCTACACGGACTTGGTCTTCCCCCCGTGGCGCTTGCGCTTGAGACACAGAGCCGGATCGCGTTGTTGCACACGAACGTGACTACAGCTCCAAGTTAGTCTTCACCACGATCTTCAACGACGACATGTACAGCAACGCGATCCGGCTCTGTGTCTCATGCGCAAGCGCCACGGGCGGAAGACCAAGTCCGTGTAGCAGGTTCGACGAGGACAAAGGGGAGGACGGGGAACCTACGACACGTCTCGATCAGGACTGGGTCGTCAAACACGTGGAGGACAACTCCGAGGCGTTCAGGACTCAGATCACCAGTCGGTGGGGGCAGAGTAAAAGAGAGGGGGTAGCGAGAGTGCAAAGTAGAGGGTAGGAAGAATGAAAAAGTGAGAGAGGGAGGAAGAGCAGCGAAGACGGGTCTTTTATGTCGGCATTGAAGGTGGGTTACATGACGGCGTATTGGGAACCTAAGCCTAAAAAGGCAAAACCTTAACCGGATACAGTAATTCTGAGGTCCATAGTTTACAATGATAATCCTTTACTGAATTCCATTAGTCGCATCCTTTTTCTACGGTCTACCTATACAAGGCTCTTGAAAGACTACCAAAAATACTTCTGAAGTGACTAATAAAGAGACTACTGATCCCATCGAGCAATTACGAAGGCCATAAACGCGGCCGATATGAATCCCCACTTAATTCATCTTCACCCAATTCTCTCCAGAAGATCAGCGCAAACCATGGTTGAGGCTGTCAGATCCAGGGTGGATTCTATCATTTCTACTTACGTAGGGAGTATGAGCAAGAAATATTTGTTTGATTCAAATATAAATTACCAAGGCGTTGTGCTAAAACGTACAAGCAATCAACAACAATTTTGAACAGGCAAAAACATTTATGATGTCAACAAAGCGAGCGTGCATGCTGCTTTTGGTACAATTCAAAATCACATTGTTTCTCAAGCGAGTTGCGTGAGTCTTGGGTTATCGAAGTGTCAGTTCGAGTATGTGACTTTGTCATCCCGTTCTCGAGAGGGACAGCTTCGACACGATGCATATCGTTACATAAACTCGGTATTGGACCTAATAATGGGTTCGGTACTCGGGCCCTTGGCACCGCTGTACTTGCCGGGAGTTGTGTTTTTATTTCCTCGATGAAGAAGGTAACTTCCATGAGCGAGAAGAGATCGGATGAAGGATGGGACTGTGAGTTGTTGGGAGTAGCAGCCGCTACTATCATTGTCTGGTTGCCGGGCTTCCCAGGTTTCTGGGCTCCGTTGCTGTTGTACTGGAATGCCTTGACACTTAAGTACTTGCGCAGGAGTAGCCACCCAGCACATGAAGGTTAGCGACATATATTGCCGTGCTAGATTCACGGATGTACCAGATTTGGTAAGTTGTGTTGTGAGGAGAGTAAAATTGCAAATTTTTGTTTAGAATAGCAGCAATGATAGTGAACAAGCCCAGACTCATCACACCGATGAGGACGACCTTTCTGCGCCGTTTGAGCTGAGCTTTGATAAGGAGGGGAATCGGAATGGCGAACATGACGGCATCAGAGGGAAATATTGAAGACGGCTTGGGTTATCCGATTAGTACTGGTATGTCGCACCTGCATGTTTATCCACCGGCATGGCCGAGTATTGTGAGAACGGCCGGCAGTAAACTGCATAATATGTGACCATTATGACGACAAATCCGACGGCAACGTAAACGGCAAGGATCTTGATATAGAGGTTCGATTTCCAGATTCTGCGTGATTCACCAATAAGAGCATCAACATGCATGTCATGACGCCCCAGGTTGAGATCAACATGCGTAGCTCCAGCCCAACGACAATAATTTGCTTCCATAAGATCCGATCGCTGACTTGCTTTGGGTCTGCTAGCACCATATCGTAGTCCTTAGGGGTCATGAGGTTCCGTTGCGTAAGCGGGCCGATATTTGAATCAGTACTAGCAGTGGGTATATATTGCCTTTTGAGGAGCCGTCGGGTGAAGTCGAAAGAAGTGACCATCATAATCGGCGGTAGTAACACTTACAAATATTTATGCCATCACATAGTCGTCCACTGGAGTTACTTATTAGCCGAGTTTAAAACAAATAGATGCCCAGCAGTCTTACCAAACAACCGTTTATGTGATCCACTAGTTGGCAATTATGCTGACCACACTTCGCTGCAGTTAGCAATTGCTCTAATTCCGGACATGCGTCTGAACTAACACTCTCCCGACATAAATAACAAGCCCTATAGACCAGAAGACTATGGCTTCTGGAAAAAGCTGGTTCAGGTGGGCGACTCGTTACCCATCTTGACGGATAGAGCGACCTTCTCCCTGAACAGATCTCAAAGTTGTCAGGATGCGATAGAACGAGTCTACCATATATGAGAAATGGCAATTTATCGAAGCGTTCTGATAGAAGCATCAGCGACAAGTTTGAATTGGCGCCATAACTTGTTTACCAGGGCCTGGGTAAATCTTTAAATTATGTATTCGGAACAAACTACTGTGCCGAGAGAGCGATCATTTCATCCAGTCGGTGAAAGTGGCTAACCTTAGGTCCCGAAGATGGAATTAAAACTGCAACCGAGGCTGTGGCGTCATGCGTCCTGGCCCATGAGATGTCAGTGCTAGCTGGCAAGCAAGGAAGAATGGGGCGTAAACGCAAGGGATTGCGCACTCCAAGCGCCAATCCGATTTAATGACGATCGGTTTTGGAGATGTACAAGTGGGCACGAAAGTATGGAATAGATATGGGAGAAGATTTACGCTTCACATTCCTCATTTGTCCAATGTTGTGCGAACGACGCAGTTGTGCGGGAATATCTCTAATAGGATTCGTTAAGCGAGATTGGTGTAACGGCATATCCTTGGTCAGCATTCAATATTTCAAGCAGTAAAGTTCCCCCTATGCACGCGTTGCCGATAGCTTTGTGATCTCCATGCCTCGCGACATACATAAACAAACTTGTTGACAGATCATATCCCAATAGTGGAGACGTAGGAGTGATTGCGGCTGATATTATTGGGAAGTTTAGAACAACTGATCTGCATGGCGATCAAGCGAGATTTAATGGTTCCCAAACACAGAGATTCTCTATAAAATAGACTTGCACGATCTGCGAACTAAAGAAGGGTTAATAAGAACTATGCATGGCACGCCAGTCGTGGACCGAAGATCATGTCTGATATGAATGTTCAACCTCCTGCATTTCATCCCTATGAAACCTGTTTTTCCCGATTAATTTTTCACAATCTTGAGGTTTGGTTTTAGAAGCTGAAAAGCCGCTAACTACGGAGTAGTGCATGGGGAACTTATTGCATCTGTCCTATTCTAAGTACGACTATGATTACCATGCTCTGT